TGTGGTCTTACCAGTGATTTATAAAGAGGCAAAATTATATTCTTATCCCGAGAATTAATGCCCCTGTTTATACATGACAAAACTTTACTGTCCTTAGCAATTTCCGATTGACATTGCATATTATTGCCTAGTTTGTTGTCTATAACAAATTGTTATCCCTAATTCACCATTTAGGGTGTAAGTTGCTTGTGCATTCTTTACCTTGAAGTGCATAACTTTTCTACATTAAATAGTGTGTAGGTCAGGGGTAGGCAACCTTCGGCATTCCAGATGTTATGGACTATACCTTCCATAAGGCTCCTACAGCAATAATGGAGTATTGTTTTACTCAGAAAATGCAGCTGAGAATACTCTTGGGGGGTTTATCGCGGTAGCACGCAACAGATACATGTATGCAAAAAATAAAATAAAAAACAATTACCACAAACTTTAACATAAACTGCTGAATAAATGACAACTTGATAAGGCACAATATATGACATATCAAATAGCCTGGAGTGTCTACTTTCACAAATGGTGGGTATTTATGTGGAAATTTGAACTGTCAAACTGATTGAATGCTCCAAAATCATACATAGCGTCATCAACTTCACAAAATAGTGTCAAGTTCATGCATTGAGGGTATTGGTTTACTCAGAAGTTATAGCTGGTCATATTTTACAGAGTTTTATCACAATGACAATGATCAGCTTTACAAAATACTCAGCAAAAATGTAACGTGTAAAAGATGAAAACAAAAACATATTTTTACCGCAAACTTTTAAATGCGAACGCATATTAAATGCATACTTCGTATTCTACCCATTGAAACAGAGATACATCTTGGTACATGAAGATGCACTAGGAACTTTTTTCAATAGGTCACTTAGCAACAAAGGGTAGTCCATCTCTGTATTGGTACTGTTAGTTCTGATGGACATCTTGGTAGAAAAGAAGATAAATGTTACCTACCATAATTGTTTAAGGGCTTTTGTCTGGTAATATTACGTTGGTCTGAGATTGCTAGCATACACAGGTCCACCCTCTTTAGTGCAGTCATACATATCCTTCCACACATGGGGTACAGGAAAAGTAGCTATGTCTTATCTGGTTTAACCACTCTGCTCACAGGGGGGTCTACAAACTGTGCACCTACCTTGGACTCTTTGTATTATTACACTGCTGCTTAAGACCAACCAGTCTAACTGTGCAAAGATTCCGTTGTTAAAATAGCTGCCTGTTTTTTAGTTGTGTAACTCTCCGTGGTCCTGAAACAGGAGCTCCATTGATTTTAGACATTATATATTTTTTTTGCACATAAACCTTGCATAAAACCAAAAAAAGTAGTTTTTTAAATATGTATTTTGACAGATTTTTGTTTGTGTGATTAATGAAATGTCTCTGTTTTTTTAAGTTTTATTTTTGCTGGTCAAAAGATGACAAACAGGCTTTCAATGCCATGATTGCAAGTGCTTTAACATCAACAGTGTCATGGCATGCAAGAAAAATGCATATTTTGTACATTATAATATTCCAGCTTGGTTGACATGACACATATTAGGTGCTGCATATAATATGTTGAGAATAGACAAAGCACATACCAGAAATAGAATCATATCACTGATAAATAAGCAAGCTCAAAGGATGTCTACTGTAAGATGCATGCACTTGTAGCTCATCAAACTATGTCTAAATGCATAAAATATATCTAAACATAAGTATGTCTAAATATATATATATATATATATATATATATATATTAATATAAGGTAACAAGAACAGAAAACTTATATCCACCAGCTCCATTCATCCAATGCCATGGGTGGGCCATGGCAGAAGGATCACGGCAGAACTCTCCTTGAGAGTTGCCACAAGGCACGTGCACTGCTTTGGGAGATTGGCTGCCTTTCACCTTAGCCCGTGCATCAATCCGGACATGAATACTAATCAGCAAAATACTCTGGTCCAGATTTAGTCGGTTGCGCTCTGCTAAATATCAGATTGCTTGCAGTTCAGGATCATTGGTATCAGAATGTCAGCTATATTCGCTAGTTTCGATTTGCCAGGAGCTAGTGGAAAACACGTCCAGCCATCTTGGATGTCAGGCCCCGCCCCCCTTTATGTATTATTAAAAATATCATTATATATAAATTTGTATATTTTTAAGCTCTAGGTGTGAGTTTTTCCATTGTTGTGTGTGTGTGTATATATACAGTAGCCGTCCTCATTCCTCTATTACATACTATTTCTTACATACGGTATCTGCCACCTTAAGATTGAGTACACTGTATTAATCTGCTGGCTGGAGATCAGTGTGTGGTGAATTAGTTAAACTAGCATTCAGCTCAGTTCTCTACACTTTGGTTGATAACATTAATTTGAGGTTGCAATCTTACTGTTTGCAAAGAACTGAAATAGCAAATTTATGTAAAGATTTGCCTAATTAAAACAGCCAGTCCAAAAGGATTGCAAATATGGCTGAAATAACTCAATTTGTCTTCTGAGAAAAGCCAGATTGAAATTCACATAGCAGTTGAACAGATGAATTTGGACAATGGAATGCCTTCTAGTTGCTGGTCAGTACTCAGTGAATAGACCTCTGTGTCTTTTTCAGAGGAATGAACATGGCATAGCGTGCTCTGAACTCATTTTAATTATTGAAAAGACTGGGTACAAAATTGGGTATAAAGTCCAAGGCAGGTTAATTGAAGACGCATGTGCAATGTTTCAGCTCACATGGGAGCTTTTTTCAAGCTAACATAAACAAATATACCAACAGCATTTGTAGTGTGCAAATAAGGGTGTGTGCTTGTGTGTCAAGTGTGCAAAAATCTAGTGTCAGACATAGGAGAAGTCATGTACTTGGACCTAAAGGGACACTGTTGGCACCCAGACCACTTCAGTTCATTAAAATGGTCTGTTTGCATAGTTCCAGGCCGCTTAACACTGCAAAGCTAATTATTGCAGGTTTTAAGAATAAAACACTATAGTTTCCCTTTAATACACATGAGTGTGTGATTGGATTCATGAGGTTAGTACTCCGGAATGGAGGCATTTGGGTGGTCCTATATGCAAGTGCCATCTCTTCAACTTTGTCTATATATGAACTAATTTCAGATCATAAATAAAATGGTAAGTAAAAATAAAATAAAAACTAAAACATTATTATATCATTTAAAAACAAGTACCCATTTAAAGCGGAATTGTCATGGCCGAATCCACTACATGTAATTGCCCCCCTAGTCACCCACAAATGCTTCTAGTCCCCTCTTATTACCTATATTTTTATCTTAATTTTGTGCCCGGACCATCTTTGTGTGGGCAAATAAAGTCCCTGTGGGACACGTCATCTGCACACACTACATAGCACTGTGAAATTCCCGCGCATGCCCAGTTAAACATTTGGGCATTTGCTATTGTCTGAAATTCGGACACGAATTTTCTCTATTCATTCATTTGTCAGTAAGACGAACGAATGAATAGAAATTATAGACAAACAAACACCGAAGCAGGTCCCTCCTTGAAATATGTAAAAATGGAAGCAGCAGGTAGCAGTACTCCTGACACTTTCTAAGCCCCCCATGTCCTCCCTCACTCTGTGGGGGTCAATATGACCACCATATTAGCATAAGGGTGATTTAAAATCTCCCTAATGCCCCTACATGCTATGCTGCGGGTAGGGGCATGTTTACTAAACAGTGAGCAGCCTATGGTCCTGAACCGTCATGACGTCTTGGGGTACTTACTTATCAGAGCTCCTCCCGGTGCAGGAGGACTGCCTGTCTGCCCAGACAGTCTCCCTGCGGCAGATCAGGACACCGCGGTAACGAGATCGCTCGATCACATGACCGCAATAGGTGCCTGTGTATCTGCCTACAGGGGGACTGTCTGTGCTGACAGGCAGTCTCCCTGCAAGTGGAAAATCAAAAATAAAGTAAAAAAAAAAAATCTGTGTAAAAAAAATAAATAAAAATATTATATATTTTTAATATATATATATATATATATATATATATAATGTGTGTATGTATTATATCTATGTATAATATATGTACATATATAATGTCATACTAAGTGTATTTTTATATTTGCATATATATATGTGTGTGTGTGTATATATAATAACTATATATAGTGTGTATATATATTATTATAAAATATAAATAATATGTAAAAATAAATTAAAAAATTTAAATAATTTTTAATAATTTGAAAAATATATATATATAAAATATATATATATATATATATATATATATATATATATATATATATATATATAGTGATTTTATTCTAACGGTATTTTGATATTAACATATATATTTATGTATAAAAAATAAATATAATACGAAATATACATATGTCCACATAAATAATTACATAAATAATTTCATAAATATACACGTAGACTTCAAATATATAAATATGTATATATATTTAAATTCTACGTACATATTTATGTAATATTATTACATAATTAAGTAATTTTATTGATTGCAATTTGAGGGACATGCCTGAGAACCCAGGCCAATAGTCCAGAGAATTTAATTTGCTAGCACTATGTTTAACCCTGCAACTTTCTATTACACACTAAAACCTGTACATGGGGGGTACTGTTTTACTCGGGAGTCTTCACTGAACACAAAAATTAGTCTTTCAAAACAGTAAAACATATCACAGCCATGAGATGGTCAGTGAAAGTGAAGTTTTTTGCATTTTTCACACACAAACGTCACTTTCACTGATATTATTGCTGTGATAGGTTTTACTGTTCTGAAACATTATTATTCGTGTTCAGCGAAGTCTCCTGAGTATAAAAGTACCCACATGTAGAGGTTTTATAGTGCTTTTGAATGTTACGGGGTCAAATAGAAGGCTTAATTTTTCATTGAAATTTGTCAGATTGGTAATGTTGCCTTTGAGAGCGTATGGTAGCCCAGGAATGAGAATTACCCCCATGATGGCATACCATTTGCAGAAGAAGACAACCCAAGGTATTGCAAATGGGTTTTTCCAGCCTTTTTTAGTAGCCACTTAGTCACAAACACTGGCCAAAGTTAGCATTTTTTTGCATTTCAAACACACAAACAAATGTAAATGCTAACTTTGGCCAGTGTTTGTGACTAAATGGCTACTAAAAAAGACTGGCCATACCCCATATTAAATACCCTGGGTTGTCTACTTTAAAAAAATATGTACGTACATGTTGGGTGTGATTCGGGGATTTATGACAGATAACAGTGTTACAATGTCACTATTGATAAATGTAAAAAATATATCTATTGAAAGAGCAATTTCTTACTTGTACTTATAGCCCTATAACTTGCAAAAAAGCAAAAAAAGCATGTAAACACTGGGTGTTTTTAAACTCAGGATAAAATTTTGAATCTATTTAGCAGTTTTTTTTTCATTAGCTTTTGCAGATAATTAAAAGATTTTTCAAGTGAAAGTCCAAAAACATGTATTTTTTTTTTTTTCAATTTTTCACCATATGTTTTTTTGTTTTTTTTAAAGTAAAGTATATGACATGATACAAATAATTGTATGTAAAGAAAGCCCTTCTTGTCCTGAAAAAAACAATATATAACTTGTATGGGAACCGTAAATTTGAGAGCAGAAAATTACAGCTAAACACAAACACCACAAACGTGTTAAAACCGCTCTGGTTCTTAACGTACAACATCACAAAAACATGCCGGTCCTTAAGGGGTTAATCTACTATAAATAACTTTCTAAAATGCATTAAATCCAATACATTTGTGTGTTAAATATATGTTCTCTTTTTATTACACTAGTGCAAACTGCCTAAGTTACTTAATATGTAGCTAGAGCCTAAGTTATTGCTCCCCTTATATTCTAATCTTCATTATCACCACAAGGGGCAGCAATATCGTCTTTTAGCAGTAACTTTATGAAAATAAAGAACATTAACAGGACATAGCTGACCCCTAGAACATCCTAAAAATCTCAAATTCCACAAACTATTTTTGACACATGTATTTGCCACCTAGTCCACACCAGGAGATTGCAGAGATAACTTAGACAGGGAGATAGGTGCATGGGTGAAATGTGCTATAGTTCTTTACCTACATGCCTTACTGGTGTAGGATGATACTGCTTCCCCTTTTTGGTGACAATGAACATTACAATATAAAGGGAGGAAGAGAAAATTGTCCTGTGTCTCGTGGGCTTCAGGTGGGGGACTTTAAATTATACATGGTCATTTGGACATGCCATTATCCACCCCCTCGTATTGACTAATTAGTGTCATGGTCCACCTATCCTCAGGGTGACTATGGGTCCTCACTCTAACAGCCACCCCCTCTTAAAATACGTTAGCCTTTCCAACCCCCTCCACCTAATAATAGTGAGTGGGGGCCATTAAAACTAATACCTGTGAAAAAAATAATTTTATGTATGTTATCTGAAGTCTTCTGTCTTTTAAGCCATCATTTAGAGAGTTCTGTCAGCCAATTCTGAGTTGAGTTGTGGGATTCTTTTTTTTTTTTATTTATTTTTTTTATATTTGGCATATTTGGGGGCTGTAGACAAGAATACTTACAAATAGGAAGACTTCAGTTGGTAAATATAATTAATTTTTTCACAGATATTAGTTTTAATGCCCCCTCCCTTCACTATATTATTAGGGTGGGGGTATGTAGTTCTAATTTATTTCAAGGGGGGTGGCTAGTGGTTGAGAAACCTGAGGAGGGGGTGTTGCCGAGACACCCTGCAACTGATTGGTGCGATGTTGGTGGGATGTTGGTCAACGGCATGTCCATCCCTCTCGTATAATTATAATGGATGCTTGGTAAAGGGACATTACGTCCACCCCTATATATTATTAATAGACGCTACTCCTGTTACTAATGGATAGGGGCTGAGATGGGGACATTCGTTACTGCCCCAGTATAAAATTAATAGTTCCACCAACTAAACATGAGTGGGATCAGGGGAGACATAAGCCTATTTACATTTAATAGCCCCCACCTGCTGGCCATGGGTTGGGGCAGTGGGTGGACAGTGATCTGTCTACCCCCAAATTTCTTACTTAACCCCTTAGTGACCAGACCGTTTCTTAATTTTCTTACCGTTAAGGACCAGGGCTGTTTTTACATTTCTGTAGTGTTTTGTGTTTAGCTGTAATTTTCCTCTTATTCATTTACTGTACCCACACATAATATATATACCTTTTTTTTTTCACCATTAAATGGTCTTTCTAAAGATACCATTATTGTCCTCATATCATATAATTTACCATAAAAAAATTCAACCACACTTTTTTCTAACTTAGACCCCCAAAATCTGTTACGCATCTACAACCTCCAAAAAACACCTGTGCTAAATAGTTTCTAAATTTTGTCCTGAGTTAACATGTTCTTAGCTTTTTTTTTTTTTTTGGAAGGTTATAAGGCTATAAGTAAAAGTAGGACATTGCTGTTTCAAAATATATATTTTTAAAATGTCTCAATAGTGACATTGTAACACTGTTATCTGTCATAAATACCTGAATCACACCTCATATGTACTGATTTTTTTTAAAGTAGACAATCCAGGGTATTCAATTGGGGGTACGTCCAGTCTTTTTTAGTAGCCACTTAGTCACAAACACTGGCCAAACTTAGCATTATAGAAACATAGAATGTGACGGCAGATAAGAACCATTCGGCCCATCTAGTCTACCCAATTTTCTAAATACTTTCATTAGTCCCTAGTCTTATCTTATAGTTAGGATAGCCTTATGCCTACCCCACGCATGTTTAAACTCCTTTACTGTGTGTGATCCTTGTCAGCAGGTAGCACGGTCCTCTAGGGCAAAAACATGCACAGTCCTTTGCTTTGCATATAATCCAGTCACTTTATTGTTAAATCCACACAGGATACAGCAGTAAATGAAAAACATAACTGTAACAGAAAACCCTATAAACAAAAAACCTAGCTCGTCTGAGCACTAACTCACTTTGTATATCCCTCTCTATCAGGGTTAAACTAACAAAAACATATGGCACCAACCTTACTAGATAGCAACACTCTGCTAGCTAGCCTGTTGCTTTCCTTTCTCCACTCCCAGTGCTCCAAGCCAGCCTTGCCTGCTTTCCTTTCTGCACTCCCAGTGCTCCAAGCCAGCCTTGCCCTGACTGCTTTCCTTTCTGCACTCCCAGTGCTCCAAGCCAGCCTTGCCCTGACTGCTTCCTTTCTGCACTCCCAGTGCTCTCCAAGCCAGCCTTGCCCTGACTGCTTCCTTTCTGCACTCCAAGTGCCTAGTCTCCTTGACTCTATCTGGAGAGAACAGCCTCTCTCTCCTACCTGCTTCCTGGGAGGAAGCCAGCAATCCCTCTCCTTTACCTGCCTAGCAGGGAGGAGTTTATTCCCACTGCAACAGCTCATTAACTGCAGCTGAGCAGTGGGTTGGAGACGATCCAAAAAACCCTGGCCTGGATCCATGTCTCCCCAGAAAACCACTAAACTGTGGAGTGGAGCATTGGCCCACCCTTCTCTCCAAATGCTCCACCCCAGGGGCCCATAACTAAACAGTGTTTTGTGTTGTGCAACACACAAACTACACGTACTTCCCCTGGGGTTAAAAGGCCTATCTGCCTTCACTTTATCACATGTGTTAACCTCTACCACTTCAGCTGGAAGGCTATTCCATGCATCCACTACCCTCTCAGTAAAGTAATACTTCCTGATATTATTTTTAAACCTTTGTCCCTCTAATTTAAGACTGTCCTCTTGTTGTGGTAGTTTTTTCTTCTTTTAAATATAGTCTCCTCCTTTACTGTGTTGATTCCCTTTATATACATATACATTTTATATTTGTTTGTGTGTTAAAAAAACAAAAAACAATTATGAACGCTAACTTTGGCCAGTGTTTGTGACTAGGTGGCTACTAAAAAAAAAAGCCTGAACATACCCCATTTGCAATACCTTGGGTTGTCTTCTTTTGCAAATGGTATGCCATCATGGGGGTAATTCTCATTTCTGGGCTACCATACGCTCTCAAAAGCAACATACCCAATGTGAAAAAACTGTGAAAATCAAGCCTTATATTTCAAAAACACTTCAAAACCTGTACATGGGGGGGTACTGTTATACTCGGGAGACTTGGCTGAACACAAATATTAGTGTTTCCAAACAGTAAAACATATCACAACAATGATATCAACAGTGAAAGTGCTGTTTGTGTATGAAAAATGCTAAAAACTTCACTTTCACTGACAATATCATCACTGTGATATGTTTTACTGTTTTGCAACACTAATATTTGTGTTCGGCGAAGTCTACTGTGTAAAACCGTACCCCCATGTACAGGTTTTGGGGTGTCTTGGAAAGTTACAGGGTTAAATATAGCGCTAGAAAATTTAATTCTCTGGACTTTTGGCCTGGGTTGTTAGGCAGGTCCCCCAAATTACAATCAATTAAATTACTTAATTATGTAAAAATATTACATAAATATGCACATAGAGTTTAAATACATATACATATTTATATATTTGAAGTCTACGTGTATATTTATGAAATTATGTTATTATGTATATGGACATGTATATTTCGTATTATTTTTATTTATTTATATAAATATATATATATATAATTTCATTCTAAGTGTATTTTGAGATGTGTGTGTGTGTGTGTGTGTGTGTGTGTATATATATCTATATCTATATCTATATCTATATCTATATCTCTCTCAAAATACAGTTAAAATAAAATTACATATACCATATATACTCAAGTATAAGTCGACCCGAATATAAGTCGAGACCCCTAATTTTACCCCCCAAAAACTGGGAAAACTTATTGACTCGAGTATAAGACTAGGGTGGGAAATGCAGCAGCTACTGGTAAATTACTTAATAAAATTAGATCCCCAAAAATTATATTAATTGAATATTTATTTGCAGTGTGTGTGTGTATGAATGTAGTGTGTGTGTGTGTGTGTGTGTGTATGAATGTGATGCAAAGCCTTGGTGGGGGGTGTGCATTTTTATTTTTTTTTAAAATTATTATTATTTTTTAAATTTATATTATTAATTTTTTTTAATGTAATATTATTTACATTTTTATTTATTTATTTATTTTCATCCCTCCTTCCTGCTTGATACATGGCCAGGGAGGGGGGCTCTCACTCCCTGGTGGTCCAGTGGATGGGCTGTGTAGGAGGGGGGCTGGCAGCGAGTTACAGCTCGCTGCCAGCCCCCAACAGGAGCTCAATTTAAAATTCTGGTTCTTGCTTTCAAATGTCTACATAATGCTGCTCCCACCTATCTATCCTCCCTTATACACAAGTATGTCCCGTCTAGGCCCTTACGATCTGCTGAAGACTTACGTCTATCTTCTGTCCGTACTCCCACCTCTGATGCTCGCCTTCAAGATTTCTCGAGGGCTGCACCGTTCCTGTGGAACTCTCTTCCCTCCTCCGTTAGATGCTCACCCAGTCTCCATTCCTTCAAAAAATCGTTAAAAACCCACTTCTTCATAAAAGCGTATCTATTAAACTGTTAATAGCTCCTGACTGATTCCTCTTCTGCAACTGTCATTAGTCTAATAATATCCTTACCTTTTTGTTTCATTTTACCCCACTCCCTCTAGCATGTAAGCTCATTGAGCAGGGCCCTCAACCCCTGTGTTCCTGTGTGTCCAACTTGTCTAGTTACAACTACATGTCTGTTCGTCCACCTATTGTAAAGCGCTGCGGAATTTGACGGCGCTCTATAAATATCATAATAATAATAATAATAATAATGAGCCCGGCGGTCCTGGTCTGTATTATGGCAATGTAAGTTGCCATAATACAGACATTGACTCGAGTATAAGACGAGTGGGGGTTTTGTCCGCACAAAAAATGTGCCGGAAAACTCGTCTTATACTCCAGTATATACGGTATATATAATTTAAAAAAATGTTTTTATGTTTATTTATTTTTAATTATTATTTATTTTTATAATAAATGTATATACAATATATATAGTGATTTTATATATACACCTGTATAATTTTACTCTAAGTGTATTTTTATATTAATATATGTATATATTAATAAAAAAATACACTTATTATAATATATGTATATTTATAATATATATATATATATATATATATAATTTTTTTTTTTTTTATTAGCTTTATTTTGTTTATTTAAAAACTTTTTTCACCAAGAGGGGGACTGTCTGTCAGTTCAGGCAGTCCCACTGCAGGCAGCACTATGGACACCTATCTTTCAGAGCGATCACATTGCCCATGGGGTCCTAATTTGCTGAGTAGGGACTTTCTGGGCTTTCAGACAGTTCCCCCAGACGGAGAGGAACAACGTGCACTGGCAGAGGAACGGTGGCGTTCGGGTAAGTGCAAAAGAGGGGGGATTAATACATATATTTTCTTCACTTTTCAACCCCTCGAAGCACACAGGCAGAGCATTGGATGCCTGTCCGATGGCTTCCGATGCTCTGCTGCACTGCCGGGCGCCACGTGGGGAAACCCGAAAGTGATTGCTGCAGGGGAGCGATCACCCGGCCACCCGGCAGTTAGGGGAGGTATAGCAGGATGCATTGACATTGAGGTATCCTTGCAATACCCTTTAGAGAGACTGGAAGCGATCATAATTGCTTCCAGCGCTCACATTCGTCCGAGGTCGTTAGCGACCGTTTTTTGTCGGACGTACCTGGTACGTCCGTGGTCACAAAGGGGTTAAAGTCCCCCACCCAATGCCCATGGGTGGGGGTATTTAGAAAATATGCAGCAGGTGGAGCCATAGGGAGGTTTAAAACATCCCTATAGAAATAGCCAGCAACCACATTATTAAAGTTGTAACTTTTATAATGTAGTTGCTGGCTATCAACCACTAGCCAGCCGGCACATAATTTACCTTAGCACTACCAATGGTTTTTTTTAATATTTGTCCGCTGGCTGCTAGTGGCCAAATCAATAGTACTTCAAATGATCAATTCACGTGCAAAAAAGCAAGTGAACAATATTTTGTGAATGTACATCCTGACAGATGCATTCTGTACTGAATATTTGTAAAACCGGTGCTTTGTGAAAATTCAAAATCCTATACTTTGTATAGAGTTCAGAAGCGAAAGGAAGGTTTTTTAATCCAGATACAAAATGCATCATATGCCTAATTCTGTACTTATTTGGTTTTAGTCAGTGTGCGAATCGCTCCCCTGCAGCAATACAGTTGGAATTTGGTCATTTTCAACAGAGTTTGTCCATCTAGTGAATAACCCTGTAAGAGTCATGACAACACCTGCCCCAACACGCAGAACCTAAGTTACTCCTTGCTGAGGTAGAAAATAAAATGGACGGATGCATTTGCTCTTTGTTTTTTTTCTATGGTACTTTTTTTTTTTTTATGGCCAAAACCCTTATCTGCAATGGTCAGTATTGAGCTTATGTAACCACATTCATATTAAAAATGGCAAATTCAGTTCCCTTCTATGAAAAAAAGAGGCAGATTTGGTTAGGTTTTATAATTTATTCATAAGATAACAAGCCTGAAAGCACCTTTGCACTATTTTTGATATAGTTGCACTCCTCAGATCAGAGCATGAGCTTTTGTAAAGCAGACATATCTGAATCTTAAATCTGATATGTCTGCTTACAAATAGAGATGTCGCGAACCGTCTGCGAACTTCTCGCGAACGGTTCGCCACGAGCTGTTCGCGTCAAACTCCGGTCAGCTGACACGTCCCGGCCAATCTCCAGCAGACCCTCCCTCCCAAACCCTCCTACTTCCTGGACAGCATCCATGTTTCAACATGGATACTGTCCAGGAAGTAGGAGGGTCTGGGAGGGAGGGTCTGCTGGAGATTGGCTGGGACGTGTCAGCTGACCGGAGTTCGCCGCAAACAGCTTGTGGCGAACCGCGGCGAACCATTCGCGAGAAGTTTGCGGACGGTTCGCGACATCTCTAATTACAAATAGGGTGATTTTCAGAGGATATAAGTCAATATCCAGAGTCCAATGTTTTCAGATGTAGAGGAAGTGGGCAATATTTCTGTTTTCTTTTGTTTGTTGAAATAGAAAATGTTTAAAGAAATGTTTAACAGACGGCATCTGAACTGTTACAAGCAAGTCTACCTGTGACCACATCAATGAGCCAAAAATGAAAAAATAAAGCAGCATTGTTCTCCATCATTCCAGTTGCTGTGGTTTTAAACCCCCTCCATGCTCAGTTAGTACTTGGCTAGACTTTATGGGAGGTATCTGCACGCTGTGTCTCTGTGACTGACGTATGATGGATGCTATGCCAAATCTGTCTGTGGAATCATCATTGGTGTTTGAGCCGAATCAGGGTTGTGGTCTGTAGCTGAAGGTAAAATCAACCGATAAAGTTAACCAGAATGACAAAGAGTAAGTAGCACACCCAAAATAAGAATAATCATTACTTGAGTATAAACACTTTGGCATAAAGGAACCAAGGGATTTCAATGGACCACATAATTGCATTCGGATCAGGCCTGCATATCGCAGTTCACCTATGAGTTCCAAACGTAGTAACCAAATAATTAGTACAGGTGGCTCTCTACCATTTTATTAAAAGTAACTACAAGATAAATCTAACATTGGTTGAAATGCACTGACCCAGTGTCACTTTACTTTGGGGGGGAGGATGAGGATAGCTTGGGGAACCTCATCTCTGTATTGTTAACCAGCCACTTCATTTACTTGGTTTAAAAGGCAAAGGGGAGGATGTTACTGTTCTTTATTGATTACTAGAGGCAATGTAGCCAGCAAATGTATAGAATAAAATATGTACTTAACATTCTACATAGTGTCTGGAGGACATCTTGTGTTTCTGCTTGCTTGGAGTTATGGAATGCTACTATGGCATTTAAACGAGGAAGACCAAAGCAGCATGTGCAGCTTTTCCCAGCCTCCATGTTTGTAGTCTGTTTCACTATGTTGATCATGGTGTCAGTGGCATACCGGAAAAGCTTAACACTGTTAAAGTTTTATGTAATGAAATAACCTTCCACTTATATATTTAGGGCAATGTGATTAGCAAAATGTGCAGATGAAACGGTTTTCTCTTTAATGAAACACTAGGTCATGTCAGTTAGGATGCAATGGAAATAACACCTTAGCGCAGGGCACAAGTGAAGGTGGAAGGAGCAGTCAACCTTCTTTGTTATATTAACTCTAATTTTGCCATACAGGTGAGGATTCTTATCCCAGTGCTTACTATTCCCACCTAACATTAATAGGAGGAGGGGGTAGCTGCAATCTCCATATCTGCAAAGACCTCCAATAATGAAATCGCTGGGGGGAGGGCAATGGTGAGTTTATCTTACCTTAACATGTCCCTTGCAGGTGCTGCCATCCATTTTTGTCTGGTACAGCACAGAGTACAGCATTGAGGTCTATGATAGATCATGTGAGACAGCAGGCTTCTCCATCAATAGATCTAATTTCCCTACAGGGAGAAATTACACTGCTTGATGGTGGTAGTTTCGTACAGTGTCAAGTAGTATTTCAGTGAAATTCCAACACAGTCAATATGAATATTACTGATTTTGCAGTTGTCGGGAGGGGGGCAGTGCCACTTTAGTTGCAGAAGAAATACTTGAGATATACTTGAGCTGTAATGACTAGAGATGCTGTTTTTGTTTATTTTATGTTTCATTAATTCAGTGAACAAACTCACAATCTTTGTCAAATTTTTGACAACTGAAATATCTACTGAAGATTCAGATTGCCTTTAAGAACGATATATTCTGTATTTTATTTTTAAAAAGTTAGAATTTTTAAGATTTTTTTAAAGTGGAATTGTTACTTCCCAGATTATTTTTTACATTATGTTCACTTATCCATTAACATAGGGATGTCCAACCTTTTTAGAGAGAGGGCCAGATGACTGACTGAGATTCTTACCAGTGGCCACTGCCATTTGATGTCAATGAGAAAGTTGTGCTGGAATCTTGCAAATGATCTTTCTGGATGACCACTGTGGAATTTCTTGTTTCACCCTCTGTGATTGGATGACATAAGACAAGGTGCTACAGCAGTTTAAGAATGTTACTGTAAACAAAGCCCCATGACTGATTGTATTCACTCATGGATACTTATACGGACACTAAAGTCACCAGAACCTCTACACCTTAATGTAGGTGTCCTGTTCTTGCAGGCTTTTCAATGTAAATGCTCCATCAATGTTTACTTAAGTTATGTGTGTCGGGTCATAGTTAAATGTGACAGTTATGAAGGAAGGTTAACAATTTTTTTTTTTTAATTCTTTTTTTTTTGGGTGCATGAGAAAGAATAACAATAACATCATTTTGGTAAGTTTGCATACAATGCACAATTTTTGTTAAGGAAAAAGGTGATATGAGTTGTAGGTAACATATACATACAGGTTTTGCAAGAATCACCGGTACATAAAATAAACAGGCTAAGGTACGCTATTCTGTATGTTTGGGGTGCAGCCAACTCGGTTGCTGTTTTTGTAGGCTGCGTGGGGTGCTCTGTAACCCTGAGCTTGGGGGGGGGGGAGGTTTATAGATCGGGCAGCGCTGTGGTAATGATGTACCCTCCAAACTGCCTTCATTGGAAATTGGGTGTGCTTATTGGGGAGTAAACCAGAGTAAGGTGGGAGGGGGGACTTACGACCTGTTCCTCTCTAAGGACTTGGATTATGATGTGGGGGTAGCATGGGGTGGTTTGCTGTTATTTGTATTACCCTTGTGAGAATCGTAGGCTCGAAGTGTGGGGACAATTCACAGGCTACCGACCCACTATGTGTGGACTGTGTTGGTTGTGATGTGTTTCAATAAGCGGGGAAAATGTCAACTGCCCCTCCACATGGTTCAGAGCAGGCCTTCTATCTTACTTGTCTTACTTTACATTACTTGTTTTCCTCCTCCATGGCAATACCACACCGTATGACCAATAAGGTCCGAGTGCCGCGTAAGTACCCTTGGTTTTCAGTTACCGCGGTATTGTATGTGTTGTCATGTATAAGTAAGTTAAATTCAAACTAGGTAAATTAAATTCAACTGATACAGGTACACTTCCAGATTGGGACAGATTTGTAAAGTGAGGCAATCAAATATCTACAGTACAATGTGTCATTTTGCAGTTTAGGAGGTGTAAGGTACTATTAAGGGACAAGTCCTTCAATTTTTCATACTGATGAGTGTCCCTGAAGACCATCGGAAACAGTCACTAGGCTACCACTGCAAGCACCGTGGGATCGGTACTAGCGACACAAGGATTCATATTTTGCTTTGGCTTTTGCCACGGTAAGCGCTCATATATGAGCAGGTGTGTTTGTTCCCATTTGTAGGTGAAGGCACCTTGTTGCCGAGCACTGAACTTTAGAACCTCAAACTTAACACATTGTTCCTGGCTAGGGAGGGGAGGGAGGGGCAGGGCAGGCTTTTGAATAAGGTTGAACGAGTTCAGTTCCTCAGGTACTTGGTCTGTGCTGTTCCTTCCTCCCTGGGTTACTGGAGGTTGAATTTGCCCCGGAGGGGGCCTGGCCTGTCTTGTGGGTTCCAGATGGTTGGAACGGTATGAGCCTATCTATGTCCCAATTATGTGGTGCTCTCCGCCCCTGTACCTGCGACCTCTGTTCCAGAAGGTTCTTTAGGCCCAAGGCCTGGAGCGCTGCGTCCGATTCTGCGGCTGTGGTAAGTCGTAAGCTCTTCTCTCCTTGCGATATGAACAGGCTCCTGGGGAAGCCCCAATGGTATGGGATTGAGTGGGTGCGTAGTGTCGAGGTCAGAGGTTTAAACTGGCTTCTCCATAATAGTGTAGGTCTGGATAGATCCTGAAAGAATACGAGGTGAGTATTTTCGAAGGAATAAGTGGGCTGTCCCCTCACTGCCGCCATTATTTGTAGTTGCGCTGATCTTGTCTGGAACTGGACGATAACGTCCCTGGGGGAGTCCGCTGGTGCCCTCGTAGCTTTAGGTATGCGGAATATCCCATCCACCAGAACTTGTTTGCTCTGCCTGGGGTTTAGTATAGTGCTCAGCAGCCTCCTGGCATAATAGGGCAGCTCCCCGGACGTGATTGACTCAGGAATGCCCCTGATCTTAATATTTCTGCACCTGTGCCTGTCTTCCATAGTGTCCATTCGAGTGATAAGTTGTGCTTGGGCTTTTTGGAGCTCTGCTGTCAGGGTCTCTGTTGTTTGGCATCTGGAGGAGAGTCCCTGTGCGTCTATTTCGACTGCAGTAACACGTCCCTCCATTTTGTGCATGTCTTCTTGCACTATAGCGATGTCTGCCGCAAATAGCCCTCGGATGTTGCGGATGAGCGCCTTAATGTCGGCCTTGGTAGCTGGCAATTCATTATCTTCATCGGAGGATGTGTAATGGAGCCCCCCTGCGGCTGGGATCTCGTCCAGCTCGTCCATAGCCCGTTCTTCGGAGGAGGCTGAAAGCGAGTCGCCATTTTCTTTAGGTGCGGCCGTGCCCGAGGCCCTGGAATGCCAGAGTAGGAGATCACCAATGTCCTGGGATCCCGCTGGTTTGACGGGTTCCTGGCGTCTGGACTTCTTCCCCATACTGGCAATGCGTTTTTGCTGCAAAACTAGCAATTTTAGGTTTGTTTAATATCTGTTTCAGGCTTGTCGTAGCGGAGCGCTCTTGCAGCACGTCTGCTCCTTTCGGCCGCCAGGTTAACAAATTTAAATCTGTTTAGTTTAGAAAAATGGCATCTCAGAGAGGATATGATAACATTATACAAATATATTCGGGACAACACAAATACAAGGAGAGATCTGACTGCCATCTCGGGGTCAAGAAGGAATCTTTTCCTAGTTTGTTACAATATTGGAAAACATTTCAAGCTGGATTTTTTT